ATGAAATATAAACAACTTTCACATTTTTTTTTTACTCTTCGATTGTTCTAAAAAAAATCCTAGACAATATATTTTAGTTACTTGATGATTAAGAATTTTGCCATTTTCATTTGAAATTCTTTTAAGAAAATTTAAATTGATTTGTATGATCTAAATAATTCAACTGATATAACATTAAATCGTATTCAAGAATAACTTGAAATCTCTATGATATTTGATTTAATATTACGAAATCCATTCAATTCTGCCAATTCTTTAAATTAAACTAGTAATAATATACAATATTTGTGTTCAGTAATAATCGAAATTTGATCTATTTCCATGTAAGAAAAAAATTATTTTAATTGTTTCATTGATTCTAATAACAGTCCAGTGAAGTTCCATATTATTAAAAAGAGATTTATTTGTGGTTTAGATTTTCAAATTTACGAAAACTTTTTTTTTTTCAATATATCTAATGCAGATGGCTTGTAAGAAATGATTCTCTGAATATTTTCTCGAAAGATAATTCGAATAATTCTCTAGAAAATCCAATAAAATGAACTTTTCAATGAGACAAAATAAATTTCAAGCTATTCTTCAGCAAGTTTCTTATGTTTTCAGATGTATTATTTTTTTTAAATCAAAGTTCAAAAAAAATAAATCTTTAGATAAGTTTATGAGATACCATTGATCATTCCATTAAGTGACGTCAGTTATTATAAAAAGATTGTTTGCACAGTTTATTTTAGTCTAAATCTTAGAAAAATATTGCATTTCAATATGATAATAAATCCTATCTGTTATGATAAAAATCATCTTAAAAAAAAAAGCTTTTATAGTTAAATATAAGATAAATTATGTAGTTGATCACTTTTAAATGGTATTGTTATCTTAAGATAAACGTATTTTAGACGTGAAATATACATAACAATTGAAAATGTACACGTGAAAGTTCATCAATTCAATAATAAAAACCAATGTGTATGTGGGTGTAGGTGTTTTTGTTCTGTTCACTGAGACCCTTTCATACTATATTTGATTTCTACATTACAATCTCGACCAACATTAAGAAGAAACGATTAAGTCGAATGGCTACAACAGTTGAATTATTATCTTTATTATGTTCTTGTGAAATATATGTATTATGAATAACTCCAAAATATGCTAGGAATAAAAAGTTATCATATTTTTTATTTAAATCAAATAATAAAACATTTTAATAATTCAAAGAGCATCTTTCTCGTGTTTTTTTCTGAATTTTACTATATTTACTAGAAGTTTTTTTTATCAGACTGTACACAACTAATAGATCAATTTTGCTCGTTTACTATCAAAATACCTTAAATTATATGACTCGATATATTGTTTCCTATTACCTGTATCTGTTGCGTTTTTTTCTAAGTGCTTAATAGTAACCATCGGAAGAAAAAAAGAAATATGCTTTTTCTTTCTTTATGTTATTAGTGAATTGTAAATACGATTACTTTATAAACAAATGTTAGACGTAAGAACGATAGATTCTCTCTCTCTCTCTCTCTCTCTGTATAGTTTTTTTCATTCATCGCACTTTATCTAAGCAATACTTACTCAAAAGATAGCAAGATGTACAAGTAATTAATAAGAAATTGGTTCGGAAATCTTTCTAGTTAATGAGAAAATGTTGACAGAATGTTTTGATTGATTGACTTTCAGTTACATAAACTATTTATGTAATCACACGGTGAATTTTTAGTTTAGGTTTTAAAAAAATTCGAATAATCGAGAACCTTTATATGGATTGTCTACATATCACAGTTTAAAAAATTGTGTATTATTCAGTACAGATGAACATAAAGTTATTTACGATTGTCAGCAATATATGTATGCTACATGATAAGAATTTTGACGAATTTTTAGTGATGAATTCTGGAAACTGATAGAAATTAGCTGAAAGCAATTACTAGATGGAAGATGTTACACTCAATCAATCACAACTAGCGTAGAGTTATGAGATTTCAATGAGGCAGATCATCAAATCAGAAGAACGAGGGTATGAGAAAAAGTAACACTTACACTCTCGTAGAGAATTCTTTTATGAAAATTTTGATTAAAAAAAGCCTTTAGTGTGAGCAAAAAATGACAGAAGTAGGATAATAATATTAAAATGACTCGATATGTCACCCGCATCCACACTTAAATTCCACACCGAAACCGACACCCACACCCTGAGTGGAATGCTAGTTTTTTACTAGTATTGTAAGCTACTTAAATGCATATTCATCTTCTACGTCAAGGAAGTGGCTGAGAAGAAACACTTCTTTTCATTTTAGTCGCATAGTTGTTATTTATATTGAAACAATAATCAAAAACAATATGTATCTTTGGAGAATACTATGAAATTTTTACATAGACAAATTATTTAATCTCTATACAACAATTTGGTGAATTACATATTTTTTCGTAATTGATAGCGTAAATTTGATCCATGCTTAGAAATAACATCAACGGCATATAATGTCATTCCAGCTTTGGCATTAGATTTCCAGGAACCTTCATTATCCACTCTTGCCGTAGAGACTACTGCTTGAAGTGGATGACCATTTACTTCATAACCTTCCTGTTTTAATCGAGCAGCATATTGCAATAAAGTACATGTCTCTACTGTACCAATGCCAGAATATATTTTTTTATTAATAGTATTGACATCCGTAACTGCATAAGTTGAAACTACATCTGGTGGATGACTCCAGCATTCTACTCTGTTTAAACGAGACATCTCTGAAGTACCAGGTTCGGATCCACCTCCTATACAGGCAATACCCAAAAAAGTTTCTGTTTGAGAATCAGAAACTACGAATCCACTATAGAGATATAGAGACGAGTTTTTGTTATGAAACCTGCCGACCAATGTATTCACTCTTGCTGTTGTTGCCTCACGAGAAGTAATATTACCATTAGCATATTTTGCTCTTACCAAAGGTTGACTGTTTAAGTAATGGTAAATATCGTTTGTATCTTTCTCTTGTATTGATTCAAAGTAATATTGTGTTCCATTATATTGTACTTCCATATGTACTTTGGTGGTTTCATCCGACTCTGTTTCAATATGGATGTGTGCTTGTGGAGCTTGAAAGTCTTTTTGAGTTTCAGCATATTGATTAAATTTTAGTTTTGCGTCTTCAATTAGACGTGGTAGATCTTCGTTATAAGCTGACATCGTAAAAAATTCTAATTGGATGATGCTAGCTGGAAAATTTTGCAAGATATTGAATGGTAAATTAATACGTAATAATCTGTGTAATAAATATCAGTTTTATTTTGAAAAGTACCTGTGAAACTTAAGTATGTAAATTGTAATAGATGTCCTTATCTAAATTTAGAGATATTTTTGAAACTATCCTTAAGACAGTCAGATATATGATTAATAGTAAGCGACCAGCTCTATCCAGTAATTTTTAAAATACATATATAGGAACAACTGATGCAGAGAGAAGACAGTTTCGAAAGTAAGCGAATACACAAAATATCAGAACAGATTTAACAGATGGAAACTTATGGGATCCAAAGTTTTACCGAAACTTTTACGTCTATGAAAGTCTGCTATGATTTTGAGTATGAGTGTCCTTGACTCCCATATTTTCGTTTTTTCAGGGACGACGACGCTGACAAGCTTTTGATATTTTTTAATTGTAGATTTTGCGACGTATTCTATTATTCTCAGTAACATGTTTTCAGCAAAATCCAGACATCCTAATTGAAATAGTTACAAAATTAATAGTCCACAAGATCTTTGTATCTGTGCTTAGTGAGCCTATTCGACAGGATTGCACATGGGTCACAAAGTTTCGAACAAGTTCATGACAGAAATGAAGACTTCCAACTAGTAAAGTTTACAGATACGTACTGTAAGAGAAAAAGTGAAAATATTTATTGCATTTTCCCTTCACTTTCACATTACACTAACATTTGATCAAATCAACTGCTAAAAATGATTGAAACAATTTGTTATACTTGTTGGTGTTGTTTTGTATGTATATTCTTTGCTTCTCATGCAAAATGTGAGCAATGAGTCAAATAAAGGAAGTGAAGGGGCATGTGTTGACAACGAAAGAAAACTTATCGTGCTGCTTTTATCGCACATAGGTGTGTGTAGTCATACCGTTGACGTTACCAGTGACACGCTGTTTTCTATCAGTTCTGACACTTACATATCGTCAAACGCTGAAAAATAATGCACTCTATCAGCGCTCTTTTATTGAAAAAAAAACGTATTTTTCATAAACGCATTGGAATGTATTTTTTTAAATAAGTTTTCTTATTGAAAATCAAGTTCTTCTTACAGACAAGTTAAAATATTTACATTCCTATTATAAGTAAAAATGTCATTTTATGAGATAAAGTCTGCTACCGTTTACGCAAATAGTTCGAAGTATTAGACTCAAAATTATACTACTTCAATAAACCCCTTATGCAGATGAATATTATGAGTGCTATGTAGTAGAATGTATTTTAATATTGAGAAAAAAAGAAATAGTTGTGTGATAAAAAGAACAACGAAAAGATTTGAAACTTTGACAATAAACCAATCTCGTTATGCTCTATCTCTGTGCAAAATTTGAATTCGAGATTCGAAAATTAGTTGTCCTAGTGTTTCTAGGAGGGGGGAGGGGCACAGCATTCTATTAGAAAAATATCGTAAAAATGCATTATCTCAGTATCAATAAGCTATTAGCTTGAACTCTTTTCAGGCGCGTGAGCTCTACGTTCTCTTCGTACTCACGCCCAAATATTAACCTACCTTATATTTTGACATCAATAATAGTACAAAAACTGAACGGCTGTATGTAGTTATATAATACAAGGAAGGGTTTAGAACAATACTTCCCATGTCATCTGCTTTGAGCTTGAGAGTTATTTTTATTCATATGCAAATTTTTGTAAAAAATTATAGACAGAAAAAATTAATCATTAAAAATAATATGTAGAATTATTCAATCAGTTCAAAAAGTTATACTAAAAAAATAAAAAAAAGTATATCTTTACAAAAAGAATGGACAATCTGGTGCCAGTTTCGAACTTAACACAATACGTTTACTTTTTATCATATTTTCGACATTCATAGTTTGATTCAATAGAATAGCCGGTTGCGAAGCATCTGATTCTCTAAAACAAAACAGAAAACAATAGAGAAATATCAATAAACATGTGAATATCACTTACGTATCCCATGGATCATTTCTATCTATATAGAAATTTGCACGAAAAGCTAATAAATCAGCATATTTCACAGGTGCTGGAATAGCTATTGAACGAGTACAACGAGCATATGTGTAACATAGAGCATAAGTTAACATTTGAATTTGATCTGGTTGTAATTTATTATCATCATACAAAACATAATAATGTGTTGGACGACTTGTTCCCTACACATAAAGAAAATGTAAAAAGAAAAGCTATTATCAAATAAATTCAAATGTTGTTATTTACTTTTTCTCCATGATGACTATTCAAAAAGAAATCATAAGTTGTAGGATTAGTAACATCATGTGAATCGACAACTGTACCAGCCTTAACATTACCAGTTGAATCAGTTGGAAAAAATCTTGTATGATGTTTCTTGTTTACTACAATATATGTAAGATAAGGTCGATAGACTGGGGATAACTCAACACAAGCTTCTCGTATTGCCATGAGTTCTTTTTCAAACACACTATCAAATTCACTATTTGCAATACCATCACGATAGATAACAATAGCTTTTGGTGGATATCTATGATGTTGTTCATATTGACTAATAAGTGATTTCATGATCTGTTTCATATCTACAACATATTCACGACTTTGTCTACGGGCTTCCGGTAATCGTTCTTGTATGTAAATCTCTTTGAAATATCGATTGGGTATATCATCGGCTGATGCTACAACACCTACAGTTGAAAATTTTCTGCCTGAACTAGGTGCTCCATGACTAAGATCGACACCAACATACATGTATTGATGACCACGTGAAAAGAATTCTCTGATAACGCCACTAAAAATATTCTCGGACAATAAGTCGGTGATAAACAAAAACAAATGATAACTCACGGAACATCAAGAACAGAATTAATTCCATCTAGTTTAGTGTTGATTTTCATCATAATATTATTCAATCTTGAATAATTCCATTGATTTTGGATTTCTTTTTCGTTTAGTTTAATCATTTGAGTAACGATTCCAAAGCCAAATTGTAATTCACACTAAAAAAAGTAACAGAAACATTCAAATTCTATTTATTTACTAATTATCTTACCAGTCTCTTTAAATCGCCATATATTTGATCTCTAATATCGTTATTTTTTGGTAAGATGACTATAAAAAATTTACAATCATCATTCTTTTCCATCATGTCCTTCAGTGCAGCAATTATATGACTAATGGAATCAGGTTGAACATTGTATTCTTTATAGAGGACGGGTTCTGGACAAGTTATACCTCGGTGAGCAGCAACATCCCTCAATTGCTTATAGAATGCTTTACATGACTCTTCATCCAATGATGATAATAAATTGATCAAAGCCCATACCGGTGGAAATTTTGTTGGACGATGAAATTGTGTTTTCGTACTACTCCAAACACCTGGCGATCGAAACTGTTCATTATTTACATGAAACTTATCCGTATAGATGATTTGAGGCATAGGTAAAATACGTGCAGGTACCTTCAGCATATTAACATCGACATTAAAATTCCATGCATTAATAAATGGATCCTGTTCAAAACATTGTTGTTTTGGATTTTGACGAATTTCCATGATCGATTGATGATAGTCCGAGGGTATCATAGATGATGTTAAACAAAGAAGTGCTCTTTGTTCATCGGTTATTCTTTTCACTTTAATAGGTTGAATATCAACGAATTCCATTGGTACAAACGCTCTATTATGCATTTTCAATGTAGGCAATGTTGGATATCTACTTAACAAAAAAAAATACAAATAGATCTACTAAGAGAATATTAGCGCATTAACTTTAATGGAATTCCATAGTTTTGTTTATAGTAATTTTCGACTGTGACAACACAATCATGACCATTTCTCTTCCATGTAAATGTCTGTTTGGATGCTGCCTCACCTAATCCATCGATTTTATACCCAATTGTTTTATTAGCCACGTATGAACGGACAGAACGATCTGATTTTGTACAATATAGTTCACTTTTAAATAGAAAGTAGAAATACTTACGTTCACAGTTGTTTAATAAAAATTCAATTTCACCATGACAATGATCACCACTGATATTTTGATCAAGAAATTTCACAACGACTTCCATCTCAGCTTTTTGAACCTTTTGCGTATTCTTATAATAGTTCTTACCAAGTGGACTGTGAAGCATAACTTCACAGAGAAAATCAATGAACGATTGTTCTTTGATGAAAATTGTATAACTCACTACAACAAACATATAAAACACAAATGTTATTTCTCAGATCAATTCATTTTATTGACGCTTACTATCAAGATTCATAAGTAATCGATTAGTACCATTGGCGAAGACAAGACATGAATAGAAACCACGCCATAAAGCTTTGCCTAAACCAAGATCCCAGTAATCATGTTTATTTTGTAAAGTTGGCTGTGTAAAAAACGATCGATTGTAGATATGAGTAGCATTTGATGAACAATTTTCATGCAATACAATTGATAATATTTGTTGAATAATTTGGATATCATTAACATTGATATTAGAATTAGTTTTCGTATTATAAAATTCATCAAGAGAATGTAACAAACTTAAATCAATCGGATTACCCACACGTTTAATGAAAATTTGATATTCTTCTTGATGATTAATCCTATTAGGTGCCATTATCTTCTCAGTGATTCCCTGAATGAAATATTTGAGAATATAACAATCACATATAAAGTCAAAAAAAAAACACTTGAAAAATATGGCAGAAATAATTTCACTTACATTTTCATCAATATTTGGTAATGGTTGATCAATCGTAAAGATGATATGATGAGTATCAAAAACAATTTTATAGTTATTTATTTGCGTATATGTTCGACAATATTCATTTAACCAACATTGATACAACACACTAGTATAAAATGATTATTATAAAAATGCAACACATGAATATAAATGTTTACCGTCGATGTTCACGTGAAACTTTAAATAAATTTTTATTTTCTATTTGAATATCATATTGATAAACAAGACCACTATGTGGATATTTAATGATTGGAAAATAGTTTACCATCACTTCTATAGCCTCGCCGATTTTTCCCAACTCCTTTGGCTTCGACGGTTGAGTATTTGATTTGAACTGAACAATGGTTAAATCTGATACTTTCCAGTGAGAATGTGGCACTAAAGTTCTCGGTTTCAAATGAGCACCACGACCTCGACCACCCATAGGAGTTGTTTGCGATGCAGTGAGTGTTTGTACATTGTCTGTAGTCAAGGGAATAGAAACATCTGATATTTTCGGTATGGCTGATGGCGAGTCATCAGTTGATAAAGAAGAACAAGTTTGAGTTCGTTGTTGACCACGTCCTGATTCTTCCGACTGCTGCGATAAAGACATGAATACAGTAACAAAAATAAAATATTGATTTCAACATCGATTAATATAAACAGTTGTATTTTGTTTTTAAAGTTGTGTTAGAGGGTTTTTTCCCACAATTCCTTTTTTTGTGTTCTGTTTCAATGCGTCATCCAAGTAACAACATAAAACACTAACAAAAAATTCATGACTTATTTTTTTATAATCAATATGATAAGAACAAGGATTGAAAGAATTATCAAGATTTGCAAAATGAAAAATCTATGTGTGAAAAGTATTTGCACATCAAAAGTAGTCAACTATAATCAGGATTTTATGTTTTATCTAATAATATGTTCAGGATTTTTTTTTCTGGCTTTAACTTATTTTATTGGGAAAAAAAATAATTGATGGTACACAAAAATGTTTGCTCAAAATGCTACATAAAAAGATGTGTTGGCAAACATGTTTGTGGGTGTGGGTGTGGATCTTGTTGTTATATCCACACCCACCCTTGTACATATATTGTTTGTCTCTTAGTGACATAAGGACTCTATCAATATTGCAATCCTGAATACAAATAGTAAATATATTTTCTAAAGATATGCTTTATCTTTCAATAAAAAAAAAAAGGATACAATAACAATAGTAAAGTACAATGTCAACATTCATGAACGATTGCCAAACTAAAATGACAAATGAAGACACATATCGATATGTTTCAGATTGAAAGACATTCTTTTCCCTATGTATCTATATATGCATATAGATGCACATGTTTCAAGTTTTACTTTGTCTCGTACATGATTGCATAAAACAATTTTTTTTCTTACAGATTATTATTTCCAAATTTCACGTAATAAATACACAATTATATCAACAGAACCAATTAATGTTAATGAATATTACAACATAATGGAAAATGAAACAGACAAACAGATGATACAATTAGCAGTTGTAAATCAAAAAATTATTATAGAATTGATTTCCCTATCAACTTTCTCTCGTCCTTTTTACTACATAAAAATAATTCCGGACTCAAATGATTAATTATTTTTACCTTTGTAGAACGTGTACAGGATGAGGTATTACAAGAAAACACTGATAGTAAATTGTAAGTTCATTTATTCTATTTCGGTTTTGTTTATTATTTTCTTTTAGAGAAAAACAAAAATAATATCTTTCGTCCTTTTAAGTATACCTGTTCTTTCATTAAAGAGTTAAGTATATAACGAATTATATTGTGTATGTATTTTGAATAATCTCTTATTTGTGTTAGATCGAACATATTTTATCATCTACTTGAAGATTTTATTAATGGATCACAAGTTCATTACAGAAGAAATTCGTTTTTTTAGTTTGATTTATTTTCTTTGTCTCAAATTTTTCAAGAAAAAGAAAAAAGATTTCGCTCGATAAGTATGAAATAATTTTTTTTTTATCTAACATATACATGTTTGATGATTTAATAAAAATTTTTGTGGCATACAGATTTGCCACAGGAAAAATAATTCCTGGTTATCATTTTGCTATTCATTTTCAAACTTAAAAAATTCTATGTGATTAGTAGATTGAAATAATTACAAACAATAGGTCATTTAATTATATTTTAAACAAGGATATGCGTGTTGTACTTCTTTTCACCCTCGAGTGCATACACGTCTTTATTATTAGAAATAAGAATTGTTTATTAAAAATTAAATTTCATCCTACTGAAACAACAGATGTCAATGATGTTCGTACATGAAGATTATATTTGAATTATTCTATTGAGTCATTTCTTGATCTTCATGTTTGATATTGACGAAATTTGAATCAGATGTAGACAAAGCAATACTAATGACCATAAAAGAAATCTTAAATTATCAAAAATACTTATTTACACATCTTAATTTTGTTTTTGCTTATCATTTATTGTAAGTGTATATGATGTTATGATGATTTACATGCTTCATCGAGTAGTTGCAGCAATAGAGAACAAAAGGAATATTAGAGCTTTTGCATCCTTTCTTGTATCTTGTCTTCACACTGAGACCATATAATTGATGGTGACCAAAAACAAGACTTGTACAACACGCTAAAGTAAGTATTAATAAATATATTCGTTCATTTTTCTGAAATTTGAATGCCATTAAAAAAAATCAAATACAGTCAGTTAGAACAAGAATTTAATGATCTTGCTAAATGAATGTTTAGATTTGTTTTTCTGACATATGACTAGTTAGCTTTGATTAAAAATATTACTTCGACTAAGTAAAGTTGAATTTCTAGCGTTGTAGAAAATTTATTATTCTAATAAACTATTGATTGGAATAAACAAGAAATCAAAACTTATAAATATTTTTTGGTACAATTTTTGCTTTATGAAGTTTATGTATGAATTGTAATTTTTAGTCTCTTTCAAAGATTTTCTTTGAATAAATAAATTTTACCTCAGATAATCGGGCACATACGTTATACAAAAAATCTTTATACACAGATTATTCTGAATGAATAAAATAATTGATATTAAAATTAATCTTTGAAACTACTCTAATATGTAAGACAAATATTTATAAATTTTATGCTTTTTTTTATTTAATTGTATTATGAACATTTTTTTATGATTAGGTTGTTCTGCAACTAATTTGACTTTTATTTAGATCTTTGTTTAACATATCTATCGAATTAAAATAGTTGCAAAATGTTTAAGTTTGTATGAAAACTTAAAAACAACAAAAATATCTTATGTAAATGTAACATTAAAACATAAAATAATTTTTTGTAAATAGTTTTCATAGATCAATTGATTAGAGAGGCTAATGAACCAGTACTTGAAGTTAAAATATCTGCTTGACAATCGCCAAAATAACTAGCTTGATTATGTGATAAAATGCAAATGCCATAATAATGAACACAAGCTGCAGCAACAACAAATACATGAAAAAGTTGATGACTTTGAAACTAAATGAAACAAGAAAAACTTTTAATAAAAAAAAAATTTTGATCATACCCAAATATCAAAAAGACCAGGAGCTAATCGTTCAGGTATTCGAGCTTTTAAAATCAAAGTGAAAAGTCACATAAAAAGTAGAATAAATAAACAATATGAATATTTACCAGCATAGAGACTTGCACCAATAACATAAAGTGTAGCTACTATGAGTAAATATTGAGTAGCACCAGCTGAAAGAAACAAAAACAAAATTAATTTTATTGAATTCTCGAATTGTTCAATGAGATTTTAATGAAGGAGAAGATTCTATATGTCCAAATATCTACGATAGACTTGCTTGATTCGATTTTTCAATATGATTTCTATGCTCATAAGAATTCGATCGAAGTAATTGAATTATCAATAACAAGTTTTTAGTGCGATCTCCATATAATTAAAATATGAAACACAATACAATTGATATTGTTAATCACAGTGAGATTATTGTATTCTATTTATTTTTACAGTACGTTTCTTCATCATCCTTTTCATTAATCCTCAAGAAATGTAATGAATGGATAGTTTATATATTATAAAAAAACGTTATTGATGTACGATCTTTCATTATGTGTAAACAACGTCTGTATGGAACGGGTTCAAATTTTTACCTCTAAAAACTGAGCTTGGAACTTTAATATTAAGATAATCTGGTTATTAATCTAACCTTAAGGGTACAATTGACAAAAGGATCGATTTTTCTAAAAGAAGATATTTTTCGAGACAAAACATATAGGCATGGCTCTTAAAATATTCAGTTTTAAAATTTATAAAAATTGCAGTTTTCATTCCTCATTATTACCTAATGCATAGTTCGAAGGTCACTCAATAAGACTTAAGAATAATTTTTTTTTATGGATACATAATATACTGATATTTGGAAAATGTTTGCATATTTTTCTTGAAACTAATTTTTGTATAAATTTTCAATTCTAAACAATTTTCTTTTGCAACATATTTCATTCTCGTGAATTTCGATTTCTTTTATTCGATCTTCTTTCAGTTGAAAGATAGGTGTTTTGTATTTCCTTTCAAATGAGAATAATCGGAGTACTATAACTTAAAGTGTATAGAAAAAAAAAACATTTGCACATCATGATGTATTCCATTAATTGAAAATCTTTGATATTACGATGAAATAAAAATTTTTTGTTATAAAACAATTCATCTTACCTGTAAAAGCATGTTTAAAACCATGTCGAAATATATAATGACAAGTTGGAATAATACCAAAAATTCCAAATGTAATGAATAGTACTATAACAAAAAAATAACTATGTGAAAAATTCTTGATTTAAAAAAAAAAAAAAAACTTACAAACACGATAAACTCGATAATCTGATGAAGAAAATCTATCCCACATAGAAATAATTATACATGTAACACCTAATAAACCAATTAATGATAGATAAGCAATTTTTGTTCCAAATTCACAATAAAATTGATAATAAAGTAATGGAACAACTGAACCAATAATTAATATTGCTATTCCACAATAATCAAGTCTAAAATATTGATAAGATTTTAAACAATAAAATTATTTCAATTATTTCTTACTTGCTAAAAAATTTCGAAATTTTCGGTGAATGACAATAAAGTATATGATATAATGTTGAACAAAGTAAACATACAATAGCTCCAAGAAAAAATGCACCAAATATTAATTTTTTTTCTATATGTACTTCATTAGATGGTCGTGTAAGAAAATATATTGCAATTCCAATAAAAACAAATGTACCTAATAGATGTGTCCATATATTAACTGTTTCGGTATGTAAACGAAATATTGATGCAAAACATTGTTTAACACTTGGCATTGGTGGACGATGTCCAGATATTAAAAATTCATTATCAATAAGCCAATATGGAAGATGACTATGATCAACAACATAATCAACAACAAATTTACCAACTTCTTTTGCTTGTTCAACACATCTTGTTGGAACTTCAAAAACTGAATCAATTAAATTATGTGTATGATCATCATCCAAATCATTTGAAGATTTTTCATAAGAATCATTAAGTAATGCATTCTAAAAAGAAACATTTTTTTGAAATTGTTTTATGCATTACATCATGTTTAGATATGAGCGAAATCAGCCGTTTTCAATCTGAGGATCGGAACCATCTTACCTATATCTAGTTATGTTAGATGAAATAAAGAGTTATTTAATTATTAGCAAGCGAGCAGAAGAATACACAAGAAGTATTATATTTACTGAAACAAATGAGAAGAACCATTAAAGACTACAAAAGAAGATAACTTTCAATATAGAATAGATTGTCTGAATATGATCTAACGAACACATTCGAGGGACAAGCGGAACTTTTTTTTTTCTATATCGTATATTATGTAAGCATGATGTATTTTATATGATTAATTTATTGTTGGATTCATTCTCCAAAACATTATTGTATAACAAGAGTTGTCATACAAACTTCTTAATATAAAATAATTCCTCAGCGAATCGATTCTATTTCTAGTGGATACATTCTAAATATAGCAGAACCGATTCCTATTGATAATCATTGTTCTAAAATTTTTACAACTAACTAACAACATCGGACATTTCAGTGATTAGAATGATGTAAAGCCCATCGGGTCCAAAATGTTCAGATACAGACTTTCTTTTGATCAACATGTCATAAAAAGATCCCTATGAAAAAATCTGTTATATAATCTCGAAGAATTATATCCTACCGAATCTATTCCAAATATTTATTGTTTTAGCAAGTTGATTATACAAATCTTTCACATTCACATCCTCAAGTCCTAATAAATTCCGAAGCATGACTAGATACCAGAATTTATTTATAAAATCTCATTAAGTCTTAGAAACTGTGATTATAGTTCCACGGAGAATTTCTTCAAAATTTGAAACACTTACTTGTGAACCAGTCAATAATCTTTGTCGAATTTCCTGTTGATCTGAATCTCGATCATTCGTAGATATTGTCTCTGATAATGAATAATTTGTCATTCTCTTCTATAAATGAAGAATTTTCATCAATAAACAAAAATCTGAAATAATTCTACACAATACACATATATCCAAATATTTAATGAATTTAAAAATATGAACTGACACAAAAGAAAAAAAAGAAACAATATCAAACAAAAACAAACAAACAATCAAAGCACAAGTTTATAATAATAACTACTGTTGAGATTGTAATGGATATCCATTCATAATTGATTCATTTTTTGATGCCATTAACATTTGATGATGAGAATAAACATTTGCTTGTTGTTGATTTGGATCAACAATTTGTTGAGGTAAAAATGATAATGGATTCAAATAATCTAAATATTTATTACAGCAAAAAAAAATACTCTTTTTTTAAAGTTTTTTGTTTTACATACTTGGTATTTGTGATGGACCACGTACACGTGGCATTTGATTAGCATATGAAGCTGATGCAGCAGCAGCAGCAGCGGCAGCGGCAGCTGATGATGGTGTCATATAATTGAGATAAGCAGAAAATACTGATTGAGTTTGTGATGAAGGATAACCAACAGTTGATCCTGAACCTCCATTACGAACAACTTGTGATGAAGATGGTGGATATCTTGATCCAGGACTTGTTGCTCCTATTAAATATTTTTAAACGAAACAAAAAAAATCGTTTGTTTTTTTTCCTATCGAAAAAAAGATGTTTACTTGAATGCATTTGTGAAATATGTGATGATCTTGATGATTTGCCTGATGGTGATGGATAAATATGTGATGATGATGATGAAGATGATGATGGACTACGTAGTCGTTTTGAACTAACATTTGTTGCAGTTGTTGTTGGAATAAATGATTGTGATTGAGATGATTGTGATGGTGGTGGTGGTGGTGGTGGTGGTTTATAAGCTAATAAACGATGAGATGGTTGAGCTGATAAATAATGTTGTGGATGATGAGAATATTGTGCCATTTGAAGATCTTAAAATAATTGATTATTTATAATTAGAAAAAAAAGTGTTTTTGTTTTTTTCTTTTTTTACTTGGTGAATAAAGACTTGTCCATGATGGTTCTTTTGCTACTGTTTGTTGAGAATGTTTTCGACGATCTTCTTCTGTTAATGCACGTTTTAATAAATTATACTGTTCACATTTTTGTTGTTGTAAATCAGCTATAGTTCGTTCTAATTTAAGAATATCTTTTGCATTATCTTCTAATTGAACTTTTGATGATGATAATGCTTTTGCCTAAAACAAATAAATCAATATTTATATTTTAAATTCTCAATTATATCGAATGAGTTAAGTTCTTCAACTAGTTTATTGTTTTTGAATTGAGAAAGACACGCTTTTATTATGGTCTGTTCCTATACAAACTTTCAAGTGGAAATTCGAAGAATAGTTTTCCTGATATTTTTGAGCAAAGCCCTGATATTTTTTTGAATTCAACTAAAGAATTTTATCATGAATTGTTACATATAAAATTGAATGCAAACTCATCAAGATCATACAAGGGATTATTTTTTAAAGAATAATTTCATTTAATAATCTATGTGTCTTCAAATAGCCTGAAAAATGAACAAATATTTTCTGCTAAGACTTTCGTGCCATAGGTTATATCTACTACTATGAAAATATTTCATTAAATGATTTCATAAGTTTATGATTTTGAACTTTAGCTGATCAAATGTCAAACAATTGATATTTCGACGTTGTTTATTATCGAAACATGATCATCCCTCGTTGTAATATTTTGAATCTAGCACCGATATAAATATGAAGGAATTAATTCTTTTAGTTCATGCAGTCCAAAATTCATTACCACCTTTCGTTTGCTTAGGATGGTCAAGTCTCAATGAAGATCCGTATCCACCATAAAAGATCCCTATGTATTCTATTATGTGCAGTGCATCATTTCTCCATAGGAGTCTTCTATTGCAATATAGGGCTTAGTCTATTTCCATTTATCGTATATATCTAAATAAGTCTATTTGATGTTGAAAGAAAAAAGAAAAAAAACCTTTTCTGCACGTCTTCTTTGTTTATCGGCTTCATTTGCATCAGCTTCTTCTTTTTTTCTTTGTCTTTCGCGTAAAATATGTTTTTTCAATGCATCACGCATTTCTGTTGGTAAATTTGGACGTTCAACAACAGCAGCTGGCATCTGAAAAATAGCAAAATTTAAATAGATAATGAACAAATAAGTACAATTGTTCATTTTCAGCATTTATACAAGAAAAAACAAAATAAAAAAAAACGAGAGAAAAATTTATAATTATATATGAACTTTCAGCATTTAAATCAAGGTGAAATTTATCCAGTAACTAAAAAATAAAAGTTTAGTTTTTACTTTTAATTTAAAAAAAAAGTTCTTTTGTTAAATACTTTTTTAACTGTTTTATCTCGTTCTAATGCAATATCAGATATATTTGCATCTAACATTATTCTATCTATTTTGAGACAGATATCTTCATCATTCTATTACCACTTAAAATAGTCCATTTCGGCTGACATTTTCATCAATGTTTGGCTCTAGTGAGAAACGTTTCCGATAAAAATTTCAGCTCGACATGTCAAAGTAGGTCGAACTTTCAGCTTACTTATATCTTTTATGAGAATTTCTATAACTTCGTCACTATGAGAGATACAGAACTCGGGAGTGTTTTCAACTTTAAGTCAATACCTATATGGAGTTTTTATCTGAACAGAACATTGAAATTTGCTTCTATTCATTTTTTTTATGATCATTTTAGTACATATCATGTTAAAATATGTAAGAAAATATCACTTCACGATATTATATGTCACTTTTCTTAACACAAAAATCGATTATAAAAAAAAAATATGGTCACACAGAAGTTTACTCTCATTGAGACCTTTCAAACAAAAAAATCTATTGGTTATATCTCGAATCGAATGGGAAGAGAGTTTTCATTTTTCGATTGAAAACCATGTTTTGAGAAAAATAGTAAATAAGTTTAGACATGAATTTTTCATTCAAATCCGGAAAACAAAACATATTAAAATGGCATATTCATAATACGTTTAAGAGAAATTTTTGACAGCACCTAACAGATAACGTAAATTAGCACCATCTGTCGTACTTAAATTATATAAGAATGGTTATTCAATTCTGATGTAAATAAAAAGAAAGTTTTCCCACAACTAAAAAACTCAACTTCGAGTTTAGGGCAATGTTCTGAATCCTCCAAAAATGTAATAAGGAGACGTTAAACGGTTATCGTATATTAACAACGTCTGTCATACACAGTGGACATTTTTTCATAGACCAAGCAGACATGTGATTTTTTTTAATATAGAAAGACCTTATTTTCTTCTTAATAGTTCTGTATCATCTCTCAAATGTCAATATAATCTTTAAAAAATTTTCTATTGAAAAAATTATTATAAGAGATCCTTATTCTATTTATACATGAAAACATAATTTTTATAAGAAGAGTAATATATGATACATGATTCGACGTAGCAGACTTGGTCAAAATTAATGAAAAAAGATCATATTGAAAATAATATCCCACGGACTAGAGATATGCAGTCCAACAGTTTTTTAGTTTCGATCTGGCTCTAATGACTACTTTTCTACTGGTCTCGACAAATTTTCAAATTTTAGTCATGCATATCTCTAGCACGGACATGATCTTTGACAATTTTGTCAGTAATAAAACATATGTTTCTTTAATTTAACTTTGTCATTATACAACGAATACTCAATGTTTTCAAATGTGTTTTCTCTTGATTAATAGATTGTTTCTTAGCATATCTGATCATAGAACAAATTAGCTCGTTTTTGAACAATTCATTAACTTACTTTGTTCTTCGCCTGCAGTATCGACAATATAAATATTAATTAAATCATAGCATTTATATCTAAGAGCTTGCATTCAAGCTGACGGTGGGCATTTCGAACAAGACTATTAATAGGCTTGTAACATGAGAAACCGATCTTGAAATTGGGTGAACAGATCGAGTTGTCATCTGGTTCTTAAGGGTTTCTCAACATGCTCTTTCATTTTGTCTCTAGGAAGTTCTCTTGAAAATGCTTGCAAGATAGGTTTCTAGGAAACTGTGGCCTTTTAGCTATGGTTCTCGAAAATAAAATGCATTTTTCGAAAAAATGAGCATTAGAAAACGATTTTCTATGTGATATTTGGATTCAGCATCGGGAGACGAATGTTTTTATTTTTTTGAAATAGTATATCTAAATAATTTGTTTATAGCGTTATATGATGAGTGACGAACAAGATCATCAGCAATTATTTGAATTAGTTGAAAAAATGCTTGAATATGATTCAAAACAACGAATAACCTTAGTTGATGTTCTTCGACATCCATTTTTTGAACGACTTTTACCAGAACAACGTATTATTGATGGTCCTTCAATTATAAATACATCTTCCAGATCTTGATAGTGTCGATGTTGTGTGATATATATTTAGCCTATATCTTTATTATTATCTATCTGAGAAAACAGAGAAGAAAATCATAATAAAGTCTTGTTGTAGTTTTTTTTCTCTTTTGGTATGTTTTCTTTTGTTGAATTATTATTTCTATTATACTAAATATGATGGACAACAGACAAAAAAAACACACAAAATTATTGTTTTTCTCTTTTTTTGCTTGTTATTTTTATGTGTAATTCTATATTTCTCTTCTTTCTTTTTTTATTATAATTGGCTAAGTAAACTTAGTCGAAGAGAATAAGTAAAACAGACAAAGACAAAAGTTTTTTCTCTAATATCAATATATGTATATGAAGTTAACACATTTTCCAGATTGAAAAAATAGTTTTGTTCATATTGACATACTGGAATGTACTACAATGAGTTTCAAAATTGATGGTTTATGTTTTATTATTACACTTTTTTTTTTTACTCTTATTATTGATTATTTTAAGCAATCTTGCCTATTTTGATTATGTTGTCAAAGTATTTTATAATGATTTAAAACCATTGCGTACTGTATCTAAGCGTATCTATTATGGTGAGGATGATATAACTAACCAGAAATCTACTATTTTCTACTAATTCAGGATCAAATACTATGTTTGAATTGATTTGAAGACACTGTCAAAGACATCGAATTTATTCTTTTTTTGAATGTATTATCGAAAATTTCGAACTGAAATAAGCATTTCTTAGAAGTAAGAAAATCATATGCATTAATGAACACTTAATAAATACAACTGAAAAAGAAGTTTTTTTTTTGTCATTTTTATAGTATTTGCATTTTTCACACATCTCTGAATTATGTAATAGCAGAATTAATGTAGAAAATGATTTCTACATTCTCAAAACACAAAAAGTTAAATAATTGCTCTACTTCTGAAGCTTTTTTTGACCTATTTTACAAAAAAAACTAGGTCACATACAGTGCATATATTTTGTCTTCTGTATCTAAAAAAAACAAAAGAACCGAAAAGTTATTATATGACTTTTTCGATATCTCGTCGGAACAAAAGAAATGAAAAAGGCAAATACCAAAAGGCTGATTCATAATCAGTAGATATCGAGAACATATCATTCGAAAACAAATGACATGATTCGTTTCATTTCTTGATATCAATATTCGTAATTATTTTATTTCAGAAGCAACTCAGTTTGAACCAGATAATATCATTATATGTTGAGACACATTTCAACAAATTATTTGAAAACTTATTTCATAAAAAATTAACTTAATCTATATAGAATATTGTTAATTTATGTGGTCCTTGTTTTCCATTAGTAAGAAAATCACTTGAATAAAAGGGATGAAGATTTTTTTTGTTCGTTCATCAACTCATTCATTAATTCTCGATGAAGAACAACAGAAAGTTAGACAAAAGGGATTTTTTATTAATTATTTTTAATGGAATGTGAAAATAACAGTTGTAATAATAATTCATTATCAAATAAAATCTAGATTGTTCTATTTGTATGGATCAACCACATAATTCTGTTATTCGCTGATGCAAATATTTTGTGATATGCTATGAATGTACACGGTTATTATATAATCGAAAAGATCTGTGTCCAGTTTGTTGTACATGAATTGACGATATTATTCGTGTTTATATATAGATTCACTATTTCCTTTTGTTTTTTTTATTTTAAGAAAAATATTTTCGAAATGTTTATCTTACTTTTTGTTGTATCTGAGAGTACAAAAGTTTTCATTCTATTTTTGATTATATATTGATTATTGTTTTAATTGTATAATAATAAAAAATTAAGAATAAAAGAAATGTATCTTGTCGAAATAAAATAATACATGATCAAATCAAGAGAAAACATCATTCACATAAATTTTAGAAATTATCGTGTCCAAATACTACTCGAATATCTGCTAGATTCTATTCATATGTTTTCAAATATGAATAGAATGTTAACAAAGCTAATGAACATTTTATTGTTCGTTCTTCCATTTTCAACAATCCGATTGATATGAAAATGAAAAATTTTTAAAGAAGTTTATCTAATTGTTTGATGAAATACTTATTTTCATCCTCTATATGATACTTGTTTTTCTTCTAGCTATGTTAAACATCAAAAAGAAAGAAGACAATAATAATAAAGAAGGAAGAACAGAAGTAGAACAAGACAACCATAAAGAAAAACTATCTTTATATAGATGTAAATGATTTTGATTCAGCGAATAAATCTTTTTTTTCTTCAGACATATTGATCATTTGTTTTACTTCATTGGCGTCCTTGTCGTCCTTAAATCTATATAAAAATATATTTATGTATCAATGATCATTTTGAAATCTTACTTCAAAATATGGACCAAATTTTCCTGATCTTTTATAACATTTATATGTTCGATCGTATAGATTTTATCTAACTTTTGGATAACTATAAACGAAAAAAAAAGAATTTACTAAAAATTAAGATAAAAACGGAAAAAAATAACTCACAACTTGAAATATCTGTTTGATCAGTTTTTGAAATAATATGAATCAAGTTTGGATCATTGCTCTAAAAATGAGTGATTATTATTTGAGCAAACACAACTAAAATAACTACATCTGTATATTGTCTTTAATAAACAGCATTCAGGAGAAAAGAAAAAGAACAATTTTATACTTATCTATGTTGAATAAATGTAACAAGCGTTTCTCTTTGCTTTTCACTTACATGAAGATAATAGATACAACTTCTCTTCTTTTTGCTTTTATGATCTTGCTTTCTTTGTTATTTCGTTTCTCTTCTTCATTGATCAATATATTAATAAGGAAGGATAGGATAAAATACTAATACTCATATCAGTATTAGTGGATATATATACGAAGGAACGGACAATAATTTCATACAGTGATTTCATATTGAAATAAAACATATAATAGTTATACTAATAGGAAGAATTGTCTAAAATTCATTAAATGTATTGAAGATAATTGTTATCTTGGCGAATAAAAATTAGAATTAGAGTAGTTTTAATTTTAAAAATATTGTTCTCAGCTGCTAAGAATTAAAAACTTGTCATTGGTCAAAAAACGAAAATACCTTGTCGTGTATGCGCATTTGAGCTTGACATACAGATACGAGAAACTATACCTTGCAAATGAAAAATTTTTTGAAAATCGGAGAAAAATTCGCACATGACGTCTGTAAGAAGTAGAGAACATGGCAGATAAGTATATATTTATTATCTATTATGCCAAACATGCCAATCAAATCAAAACAATTACTATTTCAAGTTCATCAAATCTGCTCAAAAATTAAGAAGTTCATCAAGCTATAACTAGGGTTAATAGTTATAACCATTTTAGCTTTTGATCATTTTTCTCAACTATCAACTTTAAAAAAGTTTCAACTCTCACACTGCCTACGGTAATGCGATGAAAAAAATGACTTATTTGATGAATTGAAAAATTACCTCGATGATTGCCATTGAGTGTTATTAAAAAAAAAAGAATGAATGCTATGGCTTCTACTTTCTCTTCTTTATATGTAATATGGATGTGCGATGACCGATTGAGAGAAATAACACATCGTTTGACCATTAGTTTTCATTGGTTCAGCTGTAGCTCTTGGAGAAAAAACGAGTGAACTATTCTTTTTGTTTTCTTATTTTTTTCCGTAATTGTTCTTTATCAGAAAAGAAAACTATTGGTTGAATTGAGTATCGTTTATGATACTTATTTGTTTTTAAGCAATTTTTTGTCTTGTTTTCATTTGTTTAAATGAATTGAAGAAATTTATGATTCTCTTTGTTTTCTTAGAGTTGTTTTTCTCAATGAGTTTCCATCGATTATGTTGTCGTCTTGTTCAGCAAGTATTTTGTTATCATCAGATGAGTTGATGTCATCGAAAACAACACAAGAAGAAACAATTATCAGTGATCTTGTTGTTATGAAATATGGCATCAGAGATAAAACAATGTGTTCTTCATGAAGTTATTCATCGATGTATATTTGTTGCGTCTATTAAAGATACATGTATGTATGGTAATAAATTATATATGACAGTTTTGTTCTTGTTATAGGTATGTTCGCCATCACAAAAAAAGAAGACAAGCATAAACAAAGACATTGTCTTTATGCAGATGTAAATAATCTTGATTCGGCGAACAAATCTTTTTTTTCATCAGACATATTGATGATTATTCTCACTTCGTTGGTGTCCTTGTCGTTCTGAAATCTATACAAAAATATATTTATATATCAATATACAAGATGAAAATAATTTGCTTCATATTCTGGTTATTTACATTATGGAACTGTTTTCTAAGAGCCAAAAACACATAACAAACTTTCTTCATCGTTCCTCGCTTACTACTTGAGCTAGAGCCTTGATTTTTACACCAAAAGTACACGTTTACATGCTCTTTAAAATGACTATTTATTGATCGAAATTGCTCAAACCGTTGCAAAAATACATCGATAGAAAAAATGAAGCGAACTTTTTTCACATACCTTATTATAAGCATATACATTTGTACATATCGTCTAGGCATCGCCGAGACATCGCCAATGTGAATAAAATGAAAACAAACGTCGTCATGACCTTTTAGCATATGAAAACAATCGACTGAGACACGTTCACACAGATATTATAAGCATTTAAACTGTTCGAATATGATATTTTAATTAATTTCTAATTCTAGAAACTATAAAAAGTTTAACAACAAATTTTAAAACTAAAAGA